TATCCCTTGGGTAAATTCCTAGCAGTGCTATTGCTGGGTCATAGGGGAGTTCTATTGTTAATTTTTTGAGGAACCTCCACACTGTTTTCCAGAGGGGCTGTGCCAGTTTACATTCCCACCAACAGTGTAAGAGGGTGCCTGTTTCTCCACATCCTCGCCAGCATCTCGTGTTCTCTGATTTACTCATTTAAAATAAAAGCTTTAACTATGTGACTTATAATTACCCTCCCAGAAATCTGTCACAAGGAAATATTAAGAAGCTGGAATCAAAATGTATGCGTAGAGATGTTCCATATATGTTGTTTACAATAGAAAAAGTAGATACCAAACAAGTGACCAGTATTAGAAAAATGTAAAATTAATTAAGGAATAGTTCTATGATAAACTATTAAGCGACTAATTAGAAATGGTATTTAAAGAAGTGTTTCAATGCATGAGAACATTCTTAATATATAATGTTATGCCAAAAAAGATGATAAAAATTGGATATGCAATGTGATACCAATTGTGTGTGTGTGTGTGTGTATGATACATCAAAATGTGAACTCTAGTTAGTTTTAGGTGGAATTATAAGTAATCTGTATTTATATTTATAAACTCACCTGCTTTTTCTAAATCCTTAGATGGACCTCAGGTTGCCACATGTAGTTGTGCGGTTGTGCACTGAAGAAGGGAACCAAGCCCACAGAGCATTCCATGTCATGGACCCATGCACTACCTCTGTTCAGAAAGGATGACTTTTAGTTTTTTAAAATATTTAAGTTTGTTTATTTTGAGAGAGAGAGTATGAGAGGGAGAAGGGCAGAGAGAGAGAGGGAGAGAGAGAACCCCAAGCAGGCTCCATATGTCAGTGCAGAGCCCAGCCCAACATGGGGCTTGATCTCACAAACCATGAGATCATGACCTGAGCAGAGATCAAGAGTCAGTTTACCAACTGAGTCCCCCAGGTGCTCTGAGAGGATGGCTTTTTAAATTCATACAATGGTACCATGAAGGATACTGGTTATTATATTTTTATAGTAAAAAAAAAAAAATGGAATCTAAAAAATGAATAATACCATCAATACCAAGGCTGGATAAGAGTCTATGTGAAGCCCAAAGTCTCTTTGTAAAAAGAATATAAACTTTTATTATAGAATTGGTGACTGATGTGGATTTCAATTTAGAATGAAAAAATAAAACACACACACACACACACACACTCACACACATCCTGGAGGTTTAGAGATTAGTTCTTTTCTCTCTGGCAACATAGCAGAAATGCTTACATGGAAGTGCTTTCTGGTTGCAGTCTGGCTCCCCTGCCCATAGATGCTTCACCGCCCTCAGCAACACTCAGCTGTCTTGGGGATCCACGCAAGTGAAGGACCCTGGATGAAGCTTGTGTTTCACTAGCACCACAGAAGATCTGTCTCTGATCTTTAGAGAAAGAAAAATTGGATAAACTCACAGCCAGATGCTATTTTCACAAGTACATTTACAAACAAACAAACAAACCAACCAACCTCTGGGAGTCTACAACAGCTTCTTAAGGCAGAGAAATGGTCTAGAATTCAGAGCAGATATGTCCCTAGTGAACCACTGAGAATACTAAACTAAGTTCCTGTCACAGAAAAGTAATAGCAAAAGAGTGCTCCTTTAGTTAAAACAAAACAAAACTAAAGCCCAAACAACAATCAGATCAGACGTTCATATAAATACTACCAGTCAAAACACAACTGCCAAAGTATCATATAGACCAATGGTTTTGCAACAATTTAAGAATTTAAGAAGGTAAATTTAACAATTTAAGAAGGTAAATTTTTTGAACCAAAACTTATGCTGAACTCTAATACATAGATAAGTATTTTAAATGTTACCAAAAATGTATAAAAACATCTAGAACTACAACTGTCTTCAACATATTATTGCAACATGCACACTATGCATTCATATCTCAACTGACTATTAAACTATTTTAAAGTTGACAATGGCATATGTAGGCTACCCAATTTTACATGTTGGACATAATGCCCAAATTGCCAAAAAAGACCAGTACAGAGTTATAATGTTCTTATTCAGTAACATCCATATAAGATATTCAAATTTATGCACAGAATGAGAAAAAAAAACACTGTAAATAAGATTGGAAAACAAATTACATAGTCTGGAGGAAATATTCACACACATATAACAGATTGTATATATATAATTGGGATTCCAGAAAGAAAAAAAAAGAAAGGGACAGAAGAAGTATTTGAAGAGATAAAGGCTGAAATTTTTTCAAAATTGTTGAAAGATATCAACCCACAGATACAGATCAGCAAATCCCAAACAATCTAAAAACAACATCAACAACAAATCCACACATAGGCACATTATAGTCAAACAGTTGAAGACAAACAACAAACTAAATCAGAAAATCTTGAAAGCAAATGGAGGCTTCTAAAAGTGGGATGAGGCACATATTATACAAGGAAAGAATAATAAGAATGAGAACTAGCTTCTCATCAAAAATAGTGGACAGATGACAATGGCATGACATCTTTAATTCTAAAAGAAAAAAACCTGTCAACTCTTGAATCCTAGATCCAGTAAGTATATCTTTCAAAATTGGAGGTGAAGCAAAAACATTTTTCGACAGACAAAAGTTGAAATAATGTTTCTCCACAGACCCATACCACATGAAATGCAAAGAGAAATTTTTTTTGTTTTGGGTTTTTTTTTTTTTTTTTTTGGTTTTTGGGGGTTTTTTTTAGTAGACTTCATACCCAGCACGGAGCCCAGTGCAGAGCCTGAACTCATGACCCTAAGATCAGGACTGAGTTGAGGTCAAGAGTCCGATGTTCAAGTGACTGAGCCACCCAGGAGCCCCAACAAAGACAAGTCCTGCAGGCTGAAGAGAAATTGTGTCAGATGAAAAGCTGGCTCCACAGGAAGGAATTAAGCACTCCAGAAAGGGAAATATGTCAGTATATTGAACATTGTTTTCAACATGTTTTCATATATGTGCATTATGTCTAAATTTCTTTAAAATACTTTCAATTATTTACCATAAAAATAGCAATGCATTGTGGGGTGTATAGAATAGGCAGAAGTACAATAAGGTGGCAAGAACAAGAGCACACAGGATTAAAGGATGATAATTGGGAAGTTTACTGTTCTGACAATACAGAGAATGGAAGAAATGCAGTATTTCAGGAAATTATCACCAAGAACCTGCCAGAACCAAAAAAAGATAAGCATCCTCAGATTGAATGAGTGCCACTATTCATATACACAACATAATTTTCTTTAACTCAGTCTCTAGACATCATAGTAAAATTTCAAGACCTCAACAAGACATACAAAATACTGAAAGAAAACTATGCTTTAAGAAAGAAGAAAAAAACATCTTCAGACATTCAAATCTCAGAAAGTTTAGCACTCACTGGTGATCTTCTAAAGAAATACTCCAGAATGTACTCCAACAGAGAAACAAAGGAACATAGTAGGAAGGAGTGGGACATAAGAAATACTTATTTGTTTTAAGTTTATTTGAGAGAGAGAGAGAAAGTGAGAGTAGGAGAGGAGCAGAGAGAGAGAGGGAAAGAGAGAGAAGATGCTTAAACCAACTGAGCCACCCAGGCGCCCCAAGAAACATTTATAAGCAAAGAATACAATGAATGGATTCATTCTAAATAAGTATTTATTTAAAAGGACAGTCAGAGCTATTTAGAAGTAACATTCTGGATCATATGAACATTGAAAGCAGAGGAAGCACAAAGAGAAGTAAATGTTCTTGTCTGGACCTAGAGAGGGACACAGACTGATTATAACTGTTGTCTTTATTACAAAAATATATACTCATGGATATGTAACAAAAACTACAATGTTAAAAAAAAAACCTTAACCAATAAAAGAATAGAAATGAAGCATATAATTTTAAACCAACAGAAGGGAAAATGGAATAAAGAGCACTTCCTAACTTTATGTTTGTAACAGCACAGAAAATTACATAGAAGGATAATACCAAACTTACCTGTGTGTTTCCATGTGTGTATGTTTCTGTGTAAACACGATGTGCGTCTATGTGTATATTTGGTGTGAGTCTTTGTGTATATACCTCGGTGTGTCTATGTGTACATATATTGTGTGTGTCTGGATATATAAATATTATTACATATCATTTTTCTTCATAAAAATATGATCTCACTCTACTGATTTTTTTTCCTTTTCTACATAGCATGCCATAAATGTTATAGGTGACTTAGCAATCAACAGCCTTGAGGGCAACAAAGCCAGAAGCTCGATCATCTCAGGACCCATGGCTCACTATGAATGGTCCTGGAAAAAATGGTGGGAACTGGGAGACCTGATTCATTTGCTCCAAGGAACAATGTTGTAGGTGGGCTGCTAACATTGAGCACAAACCCAGAGCTGAAATATCAACAGTTCTAGCGCTGAGTGCTCCCATGGGGAGCAGAGGCCCTAAGTGCAAGGAAAAGAAGGCTCAAGTTCCCAAATCCTGATCAGCTGAGCAGTATAGTGGTTCAGAGTATTTCCTCCAGAGACAGACTGCCTGGGTTCAAGTGCTTACTACCTGTACAACTTAATCTTTCTTTGCCTCTGTTTTGTCATCTGTAAAATGGAGATAATAATGGGGCCTCCCTAATAGGGGTGTGGTGAGGATTAAATGAATGTATATCACTCGAATGATGCCTGCCTCATAAATAGCATTCTGTAATTGATGTGATATCTAGGATTCAGGGACATAGACAGAGGCATGAATGGAACAGAACCAGCCATGGTCTAATGCTTGCTAGGGTTGAGTGATGGGCACATAGGGCTCTACTTTTAGGGTATTTTCATATTCTATATAATAAAAATGCTTTGTAAAAAAAACTCTATAAATAGTAGCTGCTATGATAGGAAGTGCCAAAAAGAACTGTATATTCACTTTGGTCACAATTGTGTGAGAAATTTCTCATTGTAATGAGAAAGACAAGGTGTCATATACAAAGCAGCTGTTAGACAAAGGTACAGATATAATCTATTCTTGCTATGTGGTATGACCTTAGAGGCTTTATCAAGGTGCTGACTGTCCCGCCCTTCCTCCAACCCCTAAAATCTGTCTCACAGGCAGCCTCATGGATGCCTGAAACATTCCCATGAAAACCTCAGCTTAAGCCTTTATAACCTAGTCAAAAAAGTGGGGGGGGGGTGGAGAAGGGTGAGAGGGAACAGAAATAAATAGCTAAAGCAAAGCTGCTGTCACTGTCCTCATAAAACGCTCTTACGTGTTTATTTTCTTCAGAGAAGATTTTGATGAGAAGAAAAGAGCCAGAATATAAGGAGGCAAAAGAGACTTAGGGAGGCAGGAAGGGAGGGGGACACAGACAGGGAAGCAGACCTCTCTGTCCAAATGGGCTCTATGTCCAAATCCTGAAGGAAGCCCAAGAAATTGTCATAGGATTACGTCTTCCTACTCAAATTGTGGTCTCTAGACCTGCAGCTCCAGTATCCCCTGGAAGCTTGTAGGACACACAGAAACTCAGCCTCACCCTAGACCTAGTAAACCAGACTCTTCTTTTTAACAAGGTCCCAGGTAATTTTCATGCACATGAAATTGTGGGGATTTTACTGCCTAACCCAAGACCTGTATATACTGGCCCTTAACAAATGTCTGGATAGATAGCTTTTCTGAACAGATGGAGTGCTTTTATTCAGCAAGCTTGCATTCATTCTGCATCCACAGGGTGTAAAGAATTGTGTAATGCTGTGGTTTCTTTGGTTCTCAGCCCTTGGTATAAGTTAGAATCACCTGTTCTACTATTAACAATAGTTGTATAGGTCCCATCCTCAGAAATTCTGATTCAATTGCTCTGGGAGGGTCTCAGTCTAAGATGATAGCAGTTGACTTTGTGTTTGTTTGTTTTTTGCAAACCATTTTGTACCAAGTAATAGGACTCCTGGTGAGGCTCTATGGATGAGCCATTGAGCCTACACTTTCTGAAGACAAAGGCAGTGAAGATGCCAGGAGTCAATGCCATAGAAGAAGGGAAAATTTATCCCAACCTAGTATTGTCTTTTTCCTTTTGCAGATGCTCCGGAATCTATGAAGCTCTTGCTGGTTAGTGTGGGTGGCTGGAGGGGAAGGAGGCTGATTTATCTGTCATGGATTTTATAGTTTGACCTTTCTCCAAATAGATTAGCCTGTTGCCTGAGTCATGACCCCTTTGGGGATATGTCTCCTCTAGCCTCTTTTTCTCCTCTTCCTCTTTCCCCTAACACACACGTGCAACAGGGGTCAAAACTTGTCATATAGAACCTGGGTAGCTTCAACTTCTGCTGAGTCTCCTTTCTTTGGCTTTCTTGATCTTAGGGAAGTTAAGTAGAGCAAACCTGTCAATCAGCCTTGACGCTGGGCTTTACATGACTATTCTTGAACCAATCACCAA